ATTTAGAACTTTTAGTCTAGAATCAATTCATTTTTTCCTTATGAAAAATAGACTATATTTTTAAAGTAATAAAATTGTTAATAGTACAATAATACAATAATAAAATTATATCATTCTTAAATTAGCTTCTTACTTTAACATAAAACGACTTTGGTAGGCATTCGGTCTATTAAATCATTTTGATCAACTAAAAAATTTTCTCAAAAAAAAAAAGTTAAACATGCATGTGTTAAACACGTATTCGTATAAAACCTGTGGTATCCCTGATAATAATTTCATGCTAATGGCGTGATTTTATTTCTTATCTAGGCAAAAGACATTGTTCAATTTGTATATATAGCATTGGTGTTTTGATTCATTTTATATAATCTGCAATTAAAATCAATTCAGATTTAAAAAAAAACAGTTGCAAACATGTCAATTAATGAATCTTCCAGTTTTCAATTACCAGAAATTACCAATTCTTCAGTAAAATGCAAAGCAGAAAAAAGTAAAGGTGGTAGACCAAAAATGCCGATTTGGGATGATTATGATGAAGGTGAAGATGACGGGCATGGTCATTTCGGAGCAACCTGTTGTTATTGTGACAAGGGTAAATGGCAACGTGGAAAGTCTTCTATCTTCATTGCAAAGGACCGGTGCCAGAAGATATTAGAAAAAAATGGTTAATCGAGGTCGCAAAAAGAGGTGAAAAAGTATATGATGATAAAGATGCTGAATCTCCTATTTAAAAAAAACCAAAACGACCAATCAATCAATTATCTCACACTATTAAACTGTTAACAAATTAACCATTTAACAATCTGCAGATATTACAAAAGCCTTAATTAAGGCTTTTGTATGCTGTGGAATTCCCTTTACAATTATCAATAACCCTTATTTTCATGATTTTTTAAAACTTTTACAACCTGGTTATACGCCGCCATATAAAGATACTCTATCAGGTCCTGTGCTTGACGGCGAAATTGCACGAATTATAGTTAAAATGGATGCTGAGCTACAAAGAACTGATAATTTGACATTATGTAAATATATATGCTTAATTTTTAATCTGATGCTATCAAAAGAAAATCTGATATTAGACTTTTAATTATATTTTGCACCAAACATGATTCTTAATTAATTATGTTCAGTGCAATATATAATTAAAAGTCTGATAACAGATTTTTTTTTAATGATACTTATTTATATAACAATAAATCAAAATTTTTTTATTTATATGTAGCTCTTGATGGTTGGACTTCTCTGAGAGATGATTCCGTTTATAACTATATTATTACAACTCCAAGCTATCGTGAATATCTTTATGCAATAGATGATTATTCAGAGGATCGTAAAACAGGAAATTTTATTGCTAGTAAAATTTCAAATATAATTGAAAAAATTGGTTCTTACCATTTTGCAGCAGTTGTAATGGATAATAAATCTAACGTACGCGTCGCTCGACAATCCATTAACCATAATTATTCTCATATTCTAAGTGTCTGTTGTATCGCTCATGCGCTAAACCTATTATCTGCTGATCTTGTAAAAAACACATCAATTAAAGAGATTTTGAAACAGGCTAATATGTTAGTTTCATTTGTTTAAAAATCTCATTTAGCAAGTTGAGTTTTGCACAACACTATTTATCAATGAATATTAGAGGTGGATCTGTGAAACATGCTGGGCATCGATTTATGATACAGCAAATTCTATTATACGGGTTAGACCTGCAATTGATAAGGTTTGCAAAATATAATAAATTAGAATATTTGCATGTTTTTACTTAATGAGTTCTATTTTAAATCTGTACTATATATATATATTATCCAGATTCTTGAAGAACAGCCAGATATATTTACTAACCAAGAAGTATTCAATATTGTAAATGATGAAAATGAAATTTTCTATACCTTATGTAGAAGAATAGCCTTGATTTTTGAACTAATCAAACAGGTGATTACTTTACTTGAAAGCTATATGGCAAACCTGGCTGATTGCTTTTTAGGAATCATACATCTGGCTTCTGCTTTTAAAAGAATTCCTATTAGCAACAATTTTCGTTCCTTAGCTATTACAGCATTTAATCGTCATTATCAAGAATTTGATATTTCCCCATATATTTTTACTTACTTCCTTCATCCAAACTACCGAAGTCATGGTTTACAGAAAGGAAAATTCCGGGATATTTGTGAACTGGCAATTAACTACTACAAAGGCTTATATCATATTGAAAAAGAATGTTGTGAGTTAGTGGGTTAGTTAATCAAGTACAAAGCAAACATTACACCTTGGAATCTTGAGTATTCTCCTGATCTAACACATTCTTTGTGGTGGGGAGTTGTTGAGGATAAATATGCGCACTTGCAAGAACTTGCAAAAACTATGTTTGCTATTGTACCCTCCCAAGCTAGCTGTGAGCGAAACTTTTCTATTTTGAAATGGTTTAACGAAGAACGCTGCACACGGCTTCAGGTTTCGCGGCTGAAGAGCATGGCCCAAATTTATTCATTCTATGTTTCAAATGTAAAAAAAGAATTAAGCTTTTGTGATAATAATTTTGTGGAAATGGAGCTACATAATAGTGTGTTCAATGAAATGATTTTTGCAGAAATTAATGGTCCTGATTTAAGTGATGATAATAATGAAGTGGATGATGAAATGGGTGAAGTGGAATTCGTAAACCTTATGGCAAGTGAAATTACAATGGCTCTTCAAGATTGGGTGGATTTATTGGATCCAACATTTGGATTAGGCAATAATCAGAAGAAACCGTTTTCCAGAAGAAGAAATCAATATGGAGTTTGAAAGTAGGTCTTTGGTTCAGGATATATTGAGCGATAGTGATTTAGGTGAATAATTCTGTGTTGTGTATTCGAAATTCTTCTATCTTTTAAATAAGATATCGGTTTATCCTTTAAATGACATAAGATCAATAAAGTCTTTTCAAAAAACCGTCTATAACTAAGTAAAATACAGTATGTCAATACCTTAAATGCCTTTTTAGAAGTGAGAAAATGGTCGAATAAGAATTAGGATATAGGATAAAAAGTTAAAAAGAAAAATAATACTTCCTTATTTTATATACATCGAGTAGTATAGCTCTTTTTTTTTTGAAGCCTTTGCTTTAGTTTATACGATCGCTTGATAATAAAAGAAAACTGGTTATAAATACGTATCACAGGTCACGTAGAAAACCTAAATTTAGTAAGAGGTCGATTGATCATGCGACCACCAGCTCTACAAACTCTTAGAACATATGGTGAGCTAAATTTCAGTTAATTGATGATCTATCTTTATTTGGGACGAGACCCAAACCAATTTTTACATGTAAAAATTTGGGATTTCTATCCGTAATATAATTTACATGTCAAAATGTTTGACATTACGGTAAATTAGAGGCACTTTGCGAAATCTAGTAAATACTATTTGGGATTCTACCAAATCCCAAACTAGTAGGTTTGGGTCGCAACCCTAATTTCAGCCTTTAAAGGCTAATAATATTTGTATATGCAATTTGCGTGTTCGAATTATAAATAAATTTAGTTGCATAAAATTTAATAAAATGATATAAAAAACCCCATAGAAAATATAATAAGATAAAAAAAGATAAACCAAAAAAAAAATATCAAATATAAAAAGAATGTAATCATAATAAAATTTTTATAACAGCTAGAGCAATGCGTATCTGAAACTAATGCTAAAACACTAAAATATAAAGTGAACTAAAATTGGAACTATTGTATAAAATTACGTTTTTAATTATATAGCTATTGGTGCTTCAATATCATTTTGACTAAAAATTGTGTCTTCTATTACACTTAAGCTAATGATAATTCTTATTCATTTGCATCCGACTTATCTAAAAACGCAATATACATAAATAGACTTATTTTACTAAATAATTGTTATAGCTCTAAAATATGAATAACTAGAAATATTAACCTTCAGGAATTTCAAGAACTATTGTAGAGTAGCCATCTTTATAAAAAATATTACAATTAGTACTATATTTTAAAATTTAAAATAATTCAAAAGCAACAATTACTGTTTTAATTATTTACCTTTGATTGTCTCCTTTTTCTTAATGATATCAAGGTCATGTACTTTGCCAGATTCAACTAAAGACTCTTGAGTTATTTTATAATTATCCGTGTCCTCTTTATTATCTATTTTCTTGTTTGAACTATCTTTTTCTTGATTAGCATTATCTTTTGTTTCATTGATATCATTTGTTTTTATATCTGCTGAGTCTTCGATTTTATTTATTTCATTTTGATTAATATCATTTATGTCTGAATTAGTTTCGGTTTCTGCCAATTCATAATCAATATTAAGATGCCGAGATCTATAATACTCAGAGATAAGTTTGTATACTTTAGCAAAAATATAAAATGTTAAGGACAATAAACTTATTAAAAGATTAAGAAAAGGGATTATTTGATAATCAATTATATTTTTTTCATATAATATCTTACAAAAATACAAAAAAAAATAAATAAAAAATAAAAATAAATAAAATTGACAAAAAATTTTTAAGCCAACTTACTTGAATAATCAACCATGGTATGCTATCTACAATGATAGTTATTATCTTTCCTATAAAGATATAATCTCTTGCTTTTTTTGAAAATGGAGCATTAAACATTTCAAATCCTCCAAAATGAGAATTTAATACTAATAAAATTTCTACATCAGCACCAGCAAGCAAAGTAAAGAAAGCAGTACTTCTGATATTATTATTGAACCATTTTCTAAAATATTTCTTTGGTAAAAATCACAAACGCTAAAGCTACATCCAAGCTCAAATTGATTATAAAAAAAATAATGCTAAATATATTTGAAAAAAACTTAATTAAATTCAAATAGAAAGATAATATTTTAAATACAGTATGTAAAAGAAACGTATGAAAACCTTGGTATATAAAGTTCAGGAACTTCTTTTGCATTATCTTTAATAAAAAATACACTTGAAATCAAATGAAGCAAGCTTAAAGTTGATGTGAAAAGAATTAATGTACTACACTAGAACATGAATCAAAATATTAATTCACGAGCCAATAAGTTCATTTGAGAAAAATCAATATATACGTATTTACCTGTTTTTGTGAATAATTTTTAGTAAAATCAATAAAGCATGGGGAATCAGCTTTGGAAGAGCATTTAGGATTGTGTGAGCAGTTTGGATTTAACAAGGATAATAAATTTTCAGTCAAATCGCATGTGCATGGTGAATTCGTGTCAATTGTAGAACATTTTGGTGTATGTGTGCAGTTTGGATTTATTTTCAAATGCCAACATTCATTCATAAAAGATTTTTTTTTGTGCCTACGATGTGCCCAGATACAAAATACAATAAAAATCACAAAACCAAGGCCAAAACATATTAAGTAATATTTGATTTCCATAATTTCATCCCAAAAGTTCACTAAAGAAATAGAAAGAAATAAAGTGAATTAAATAAAAGCATGTTAGATGATATTATAATAACTTACATATTGGCGTAAATAGATATGTCTCGTCAATATAGCTAACATGGGGTAAGGTTGCAAGAATAGTAATATATTTGTATTTGATCAGTTCATTTAGATCATCCATTATTTGCTTCGCATTGGGTTGAGATAGATCTTTTGAAGCAATAATTTTAAGTTCAAATATTTTTTGTTGTTTCAAAGTTGTTAAATCAACGTTAACGCGTCTAGTAAAATATAATCTTGAAGAATTAGTAGACAAGCATTGAACAAGCTCCTCCATTAGGCCATCAATAAATGAAGATTGGTTATCTGATTTTAAAGCATTAAAATAATCAGTCCCGGTCTCAGATAAACGTATTCTTCCTGTAACTGATGCTAGAAAAAAAAAAGATCTTTAAAGAAAATTACATAATATTATGTTATAATGAAAAATAAAATTAATGATATATACAAACGTAAATATTTTGCGAATAGTCTATATTAAACAAGAGTAATCAATTAAATTTCTTGATCAAAATTAATACTATCAATTAAAAGTGGATAACAAAATACTCACATTGCGAGGTTGTCACATGCCAAATACCCATACTAATTCCACGAAGTGGCTCATTAAATGAAGACGTTCTCACAAAATTATCATCAGCAACAATTACATAATTGCTGTTAATTTGATTAAAAGTGCTAGATAAGATTGGACAAGATAGAGTTGTATAATTATACACAGTACAATATGAAGAAGTGGAATACGTTTGACGTAATAAAAAGATATTTTGATCGATTATTTGATAAACAGAAATATTTTCAGAAGATGGAACAATTGAAAAATTAAGAGTGACGCTAATGTAGTCATTAAATGATAAAGGTATCGACGCATTTATTTTTGGATAAGAAGATATAATTGCGACATTATCATAACCGACTAATGAAAAGAGTTAAGGATTATATTAAAAAATAAATAAATAAATAAATAATAATAATAATAATAAATATAATATCTTACAATCATTATAGGCCCGTTTCACGTTAATCATAATTAACTTATAATCATAAGTATTATTATATTGTATAAACCATAATGTATTATTAGTAAAAATACCATAACTAGACAGTTCAACATCCGGAACATTATACAATATTTCACCACTAATTGTAGTATTGTCTAGATTGGATGTTTGTACTTGTAATACATTATGATCCAGACTAGTATTCTGATATAATTCATAAGCTGTACTATTAAATGTAATTGCACCACCATATGGTAACGGAGCGACCAATTGTATTACAACCTTTCCGGGATTATAATCGCCAGTGCTGTTATTTGGAGGAGTTCCTATTTCAATAACTGATCCAGACGATGAAAACTTTATGAATCTCGTAAATTGACTGCTTATATTATTTTGGTAGACAGCAAATTCAAAATAAATGCAGATATTGCTTTGAAAATTTAGTGAATACAATCCAGCTTGACACCTGATAGACCCGTAAAATTGTATCGTGTTATCATAAGATTGATATAGTAAAAATTGTTCGGTTTGTTGATCTGAACCGTCTTTTATAAAATGCGCATATATTGAATATACAGGTGCGTCATAACGATAGAATGATGAAAGATCTGTTGAATTTGGTATATATGTGTAATGTAGTGGATTTATATTTGAACTCTGATAAACGATGATGTGCTGACCATCGACTGCAGCAAAAGCATGATGATAAAAGATTTCAAATCCGTTTATTGGTGTAATAGTCCCATTCGATATCAGTGAAGCGACACCACTGTCTTCTCTACAAATGTAAGAATTATTAGAACAAAAAATAATTAACTACACTTTATGTCACAAAACTTACGAAAATAGATATTTTGTCCAATTTAGTTTAGCAGGTTTTCTATGAGTAACCACAAAACTTCTGGAAATATTATTATAACTTGTAATAAAATATGGATCATCTGATCGTTCGCTAAAATTGTAATGATAGAATAATGCTATATTGCTACAAAAAATACGGTATAAAATATTAAATACCACTCCATTTTTAAAAACAATAAGATGAAAATATATTTACTCTTGAGTAATTTTGCCTTGTGAATTTATAATAGTTCCAAACACAGTGGTATCTTCCTGCGATTCATTTCCATTAGCATACAATAAAATCATATGATTTGTTGCTAAAGGAGCAATGTTTTTAAATTTCCAAGTACTTGATTTACTTAGTTTGATGGAATCTTCATAATTTATAGGGAGTATACTTCCATTTTGATGGATGAAATGCAATAAGTAATTCGTTTGGTTGGAAGTAATTATTAAAAGCTTTCCATCATCAAATTGTCGAGCATCAACAAGATACCCATATTCCGATAAATCGTACTTAATTACACTTGGCTCAATTGCGTTTGCTTTTCCATTATTTAATGCCAACGCAATGAGAACAATTGCGATAAAATAATTTATCAGGTACTTATGATGGTTCATTAACCGTATAATTTGGTGGCCAGATAAATTAACAATATTTATTATAGGGTATATAGCATCCCATTCTGATACTCAATGAAATCTACCATGCTTAAATAGTTTTCGGAGTTTAATGTTTAGTTAAATGGTACTAAATTTGTGTTATTGATTTATTTTACAGAGCATAACGTAATGCTAGTCAAAGTGTAATCGATTGTATATTTAATTAGCTTTTCATTTGTAGTGCTTTGTAAATCAAAGTCTTGAAAATACTTTAAATGAACTTATGAAAGATCCGGTTTGTTACATTCTATTAATTTTAATTCTCATCTAGAATTTCGTAGCCAGCTAAGTCGTATTTAGTTACTTTATTTGTTTCACTATAATGAATTATATAATCAATTAAATAATCACCAAATTAAAACTTCACGATTATTCATATTGTTCAAAATACGTGTATAAGGGTCAAATAATCAAATAAATGTATTGCAAGTTATACAAAATCCACCCAAGTTTTGAGAAAATGAATTCTCGTTTCGTGACAAATTGTATTCGGCATTTTTATATGCACGAAAGGTATTATCAAAATACTGCAGTTCATATTAAAATTTGTTCTTACACTGCGTTACATACTTAAATGTGTACTAAAATTAGTATAAAAATTATTAACACCATGTATTACTTCCTTCGAGAATCAATTTATCCATTTTTTATCACATGTTGATTTAATGTGGATCGACAAAAAATTTGTTATACAAACCTGACATATATTTAGTATTCATTTTTCGAGTCGTTATAAATTCATTCTGCCACAATTTATAGTATGTGTATTTCATACCGAATTTTCGCAGATAATGTTCTTTCAATAGATCTAGCGTTCCTGGAATACAAGTAACAGACCTTTAGAAAACAAAAAACTTTGTTATTTCCAAAAATAGAAATATCATTTTCTTTATTTATGTAGCATAATAGATTTGCTCATGCATTACTAAAAAAGAACAAATTAATAGCGATAAAAAAATGTCATATTAAAACAAAGTTGGCACTATCTTACGCGTCGGTAAGATTGTTTAGACGCACAGGTCACAATTCTTTTTTTTTTTAGCCAGAAAGTTTTAACGCCAACCGACTCTATCTTATTCCAAGAAAAGTAAAGAAACTTTTTTTTTTCTAATTTATTTATGTTTGGAGATTTTAAACTACTGCTATAGGGATGGGTTCAGTCTGTTACAGGTAGTCATTGTCGGTTGTAACTCATAATCGCTTGATTGCGGTTATAAGGTCAAATAACCGGTTATAACCGTTCTATTATTTAGGCGTGAGCGCTAAAGCTTGATTTTTAAATTTTAACGTAAATAAATTTTATTGTTATGTAATACGAATAAAAAATTATTCCACATTTTTTATATATGCATAGAGATGGCAAATATTTTAAATATGTAAAACTACATAACTCAGGGTGTTCTCAAGCATAAACCTAGATGCGATTTGATAAGTCAGCGCAGGTAAACTCACTGTTCATTTTTTACCATTTAAAAATTTTCTTTCGCATTGACAGGCCTAGTATGCGAGTCTGTTGCTTGAGCGAAGGTTACCTCGTGTAACCAAAGTAGGGATGGTTCGGTTTAGTGTTGCGGACGAAATTTCCGAAATAGGGCGAAATATATTTTGCCCAAAAGCCTGAAATCCGATAATTCCGAAACTGGCGAAATTGG